GGGCTGGGGATTCGAACCCGCCACCTTAGGTGTACGTGGCTGGCGCCTTAGCCGGTTGAGCTATAGGCGCCGAGCCTAGAGTCCACATTCTTAATCAGACCTTTTATCAGACCAGATGCTGTGGCTCACACCTATACTCCCAGCACTTTGGGAGGCCGAGGTGGGAGGATTGTTTAAGCCTAGGAGTTTAAGACCAGTCTGAGCAACATAATGAGAACCCCCACCTCTTAAAAAAAAAATCAACTGGGCATAGGGGCATACACCTACAGTCCTGTTTGGGAGGCTGAGAAATAAGACTTGAGCCCAGGAGCTCAAGGCTGCAGGAGCTATGATCGTACCACTGCATTCCAGCCTGGGCAACAAAATAAGACTGTCACTAAAAAAAAAAAAAAAAAAGAAGAAGAAAAGAAAAAGAAAATCTCTTTATTGGTTAATGAGAGGTAAAATTTGCCTTATAGTTAATATTGTTGCAATGCATCTGTTATCCAAAGACTAGGAAGTAGTAAGTCATATGGTTAAGTTTCTTTCGTTCTGTGAACACACTGCAGGTTGTTGTCAGTGACATGCCATAGTGATCCTTTGTCTTCTATTCTTTGAACCCAGTATTCTTATTACAGTTACATTTTGGGAAGATCTGTTGTATTATCTGACTAGTTTAGTTTAGCAAAGTGTTGGCAGACTGTGATTCACTTAACCAATCCATCCTGGTTTGCGTGCCAAACGTGTCTTTCCACCTGTTTTTATACAGAAAATTTTCTTAGAACACAACCTTGCCTATTTCTTTATATGTCTGCTTTGGGAAAGCAAAGAAAACTCTACAGGGGCAGAGTTGAGTAATCGTGACAGAAACCACATGGCTCACTCACCAAGCCTAAATATTTGCTGTCTCATTCTGCAGAAAATGTTTGCCAGCTCCTAGTTTAGAACACTAAATGTTTACCTTGGTATTATTTTGAATTGTTTAGTTTTTACTGATGGAGGAGTAAGAAAAACTTGGCCTTATTCCATTTGTTTTCTCAGGGCTTAGAAATTGTGTTTCGAGTAGGATTAGCACTTCTTCAGATGAATCAGGCAGAATTAATGCAGCTTGACATGGAAGGGATGTTACAGGTAGGTCAGTTTATGGTTTCTTCAGTGTCTTTAGATTTCACTGGTAATTAGTTAATGATGAACAGCACTCAGTAGTTCTTACGTTTTTCTTTTATTTTAGCACTTTCAGAAGGTCATTCCACATCAGTTTGATGGAAGTCCAGACAAATTAATCCAAGCAGCTTACCAAGTCAAATACAACTCAAAAAAAATGAAAAAGTAAGTATTTTATGTTTTCATTTTTAGTTATGGGGATGTGTTTAGACATGAAACTTCATGGAAGTGGTAAGACATTCTTGTGATAAGTACATTTTCCCTCCTCATTTCATTTGGTGGTATTGGTGTCAGTATAACTTTATAAAACTAACGTTGGAGTGAACTACTTTTTTTTTTTTTTTT